TGTAACTATAAGTCTACTCAGTGATGGCTAACCTTTTAGAATTTCCAATGATACAAACAGCCCACTGAGGCACCCTTGCTGTAGTTTTGCCACCACTGGTCTAGGTTATAGAAGATCTGTCAGTAATGGATAGATTTAGCTTGGCTTAGTTTTTATTGTATGTGTCTTTATTATTATTATTATTATTATTATTATTATTATTATTATATATTATTAGTATGTGTCTTTGCATCATTGTGGCTATAAAAATATGTTCCTGGTTTCAACCTAGTAATGGATAGATTGATCATTTCCTAATGTTATTGTAGAAATTTAAAATTTCCCCCTAGAATTAGCTTTTTATTTTGCTAAATTGAAAGAATATTCATTCTCTTAATTGAAAATTTTTTCAATTTTTCTTACAAAATGAAATTATTTGTATTCAGTCTGTGGCTGCATAGCCTGATCTTGTGAAAATTTCAAAGCACAGCATTTTAGTAGCTTAATTGGAATGATTTAATTGAATGATACCTCATTCCTTTTGTTTTAGTTCTTGCTGAAGGTAGTTACAAAGCACATTACTGTCAGTTCCTCCCAGAACATGGTCCTCCTTAGAACCAGGGAGGTTATCTGGCACTTGTGTGTGACCAAAGGCCTCAGCTTGTCCGTTGCAAAGTGAAGATGACACTCCTTAGCTCACAGAGAGGACTGGAGGAAAACAATGTTCCTGGCAAATTTCCTGTCATTTGCACAGGCATTGACAAGTAGAATATGTTGAATGATGCCATCGCTCCTGATGATTTTTGAGATCCCAGGAGAACCTGGAAACCTCTGTTATGAAGGCTTAATATGTTATTTGTAGTGGTAGGGGGTGTGACCTTGTCTTGAACGTAGGTGTGTTACCTTTCTCTCTTGTTGCTGAGACAAAATACCCGACACCCAAAGTTAGAAGGGAAGGGGTTTCTTTGGCTTCTGTTTATAGAGGCTTCAGTCCGTAATCAGCTGGCTGGCTCCAAGGCAGGGATGAGAGACAGACATGGCAGAGCAGAAACAACATGGCTCACACAAGGAAGAAAAGGTAACAAGAGTAATTAATTCATCTTTTGCCCCTTTTATTCAGACTACTGGGATTAGGGTGGTGCCAAACTAATTGCTCACATGTAGTGGTTTAGTAATCACATGCCCTTAATCCCAGCATCACATTCCAGATTCAGCTACCTCTGAAAAAGAAAGTCCTACCTCATCCACATGAGGCTTGGGGTGGGGGTGGGGGGGCAATTTAACACAAACCATAGCATTAGGCAGTTCCAGAACTTAGCCAGGGCTACCCACCAACCAAGGCCTCTGTCAAGGGAGACCCCTGGAAAGCCTGAGGTGTGCACAGTCAGCTACTGCTGATACCCATGGAGAGGTCTCCTTCTCCTCACTGTGCAAGCAGGTGTCTCACCTAAGACATCAGGGCCTGTTCTGAGTGCCAGATTTTTCAAATTCTGTTTCTTAGAAAGATGTATGGTTCTCTGTGGTTATATATGTGCTTGAAATTTTTCATGCTAAGTAGTTTTTAAATTTAAAAATATAATCACATATCCTAATAGCCAGTGACCATTTTCTTTTGGGGGAAGAGATGACTCCCAGTAAGACCAACACATTTAGGTAGTTGCAGTACATGTCATAGTCACAGAATGTTGAGGGGACTCACCTGGGTGAGTCACCCACAGCCCCAGGGCCCTTCTTTCATATACTATGGTATGTTAGTTAATTTGAGGTGTTCAGCCAGCCTTCACTTCTGGGGAGAATCTTGGTCATGGAGTGTGATCTCTTTTCTGAGTTGCTGGATTAAGTGCTAATACTTTATTAAGGTGGTTTTGTTTGTTTTTGTGTATGTTTGGGAAGGTTGCTCTTTTTTATTTTTTAGTGTAATTCTATTTGTGATGCCAAAAGTCCTTTGTGTTCATTCACCACATAATACAGATATATTTGGTCTTTAGAGAGCCTCTATATATGATGCCTCATTGTTTTTTTAAGATATTTAATACTGTGTTTTAAAAAACAACTTCGATGTTTAGCTTTAATTTCAGTTTAACACTTGGTTTTAATAAATGAATAATAGCTTCAGAAAAGCTTACTTAGGTATGTGTATTAGTTTCCTATGGCTGCTATAATGAATTACCACAAACTTGATAAGATCTGGACCCCGGGCTGAAATCAAGGTGTTGGCCAGCCATGCTAACTCTGAAGGCTCTGGGGTAGTCTTTACCTTCTTTCTCCCAGCATCTTGTGGCTGCCAGCTTTCCTTGGCTTGTGGCCGCGTCACTCCAGTCTGTGGCCCCTTTGCCTTTTCCATTTTGTATCTACCAAATCGATCAGTCTCAGTCTCCCCAATCCCTTTATTTTTATTTTTAATAGTACATGTTTGTAGTACACAAAGTTTACAGCCATCTTGGGGAGTGTGTACATGTACATAATACAACTTATTTTATTTAAATCCTCTTTCCTCTCACCTCCCTTCTTTTAAATCCCCTTGTCCTATTTTCATTCTTGTTGATAATATGTTTATGACATAATGTTTAGTATATGTGCTGCCAAAGCACAGTGACATAATGTTTAATATTCATTGAAGTTAGTAAGTTCCTGTGCATAGCATATCTTTATTTTGCTTATTTCCCCTTGCCTCCGCTACAGTCTCCTGGGCTCCTTACCATTTGCAAGAGCTTTATCTCCATGTTTCTTTCTTTTATTGTGCTCTTTGTTTATACTTTGCTGTGCTCAAATGAGAGATACTATAGGTTATTTAAGCTTGGGTGTCTGATTTATTTCATTCAACATTATATTTTCCAGGTGAGTCCATTTTCCTACAAATGTCATGGATTTGTCCTTCTTTATAGCAGAGTAGTACTGTATTCCATTATGTATAAATACCACATTTTCTTTATCCAATCATCAGGCTGCTTCCAGGATTTAGCTATTAATGAATTGTGCTGCTATAAACATTGGAATGCATGTATTGCTGTAGTGTGATGTCTTTAGCTCTTTTGGGACGATACCTAGACAAAGAAATAGCCGGGTCATATGGAATTTCTAATTTTAGTATTTTGAGAAATCCCCATACTGATTTTCATAATGGTTGTATTAGTTTACATTCCCACTGACAATGTAGGAGGGAAGGGTCCCTTTTTCACCACAGCCACGCTAGCATTTGTTATTTTTTGATTTCTTGCTGATGGCCATTCTTTCTGGCATCAGATGGAATCTTAATTGTTTTACCATTGTTTTTTTTGTTTTGTTTTGTTTTGGTACCGTGGATTGAACTCGGGTCCTTACACTTGCAAGGCAGGCCACCGAACCGCTGAGCTAAATCCCCGGCCCTGTTTTACCATTGTTTTTTTTGTTTTGTTTTGTTTTGGTACCGTGGATTGAACTCGGGTCCTTACACTTGCAAGGCAGGCCACCGAACCGCTGAGCTAAATCCCCGGCCCTGTTTTACCATTGTTTTAATTTGTATTTCTCTAATTAGGCCAAAGATGCTGAACATTTTCATATATTTGTTGGCCATTTGTACTTCTTCCTTTAAGAAATGTATATTAATTTCACTTGCCCATTTCTTGACTAGGTCTTTTATTTTAGGTGGCCTGATTTTTTAGTTCGTATATTCTAGGTATTAGTCTTCTGTCTGAGGAATAGCTGGCAAAACTTTTTCTCATTGTGTAGGTTGTCTCCACTCTACTAATTGATTCCTTTGCTGTGCAGCTTTTTAATTTGATGTAATCCCATTTATTGATTCTTGCTGTTACTTCTCAGGCAGTTGTGGTTCTGTTTAGAAATTCCTTCTGCACAAAGGAGCGAGATACTGTCATCAGCATCTTGATAGCCAGCCCATTCTTGTGGGAACTACATCAATCTCTTTCATGAAGGTGAAGCTTCTGTGACCCAAACAGCCCTTGTAGACCTTCCTGCCTCTCAGGACTGCTATATCGCCAACTCAGTGTCAGCATGGGGTTTGGTGGGGACAAACCACAGCCAGGTAGCTGGAAGGGACCTGGATAGGTGGACCTCTTCTGAGCTAGTTTACTAAGTTCCCATCCATTACTGGCATGGCTGAGTGGCCAGATGTGCTCTTTCTGTCAGGGGTGGGGGTGTAGTGGGCCTCAAGTGCAGTCTTACTTTTCAAGTTGCAATATCCATTTCTGTTGAGATCCCGTAATTTAGCAGGGCAGGATTCTTATTGTCAGATCTTTCTGCCCCCACCCCCATCCCTGTTTCAGCAGGGCACTGCAGTTGAATCCTGGAAGTAGCTGACAGGCACGCCCTGGGGCAGTCTGCACAGCTGGCATTGTATGCTTCCCCCTCCCATCTCTTTGGGGTGTGCAACACCTGCTCTCAGCACTTAACAGCTCTGTATAGATGGCACAGGTGCTAGTATTTATTATACACTACTCCAAGACAGCACATGTCCAGCAGAGTTGGGCTGCTCCCATTTGGAGCAGGGTGAAGTAGGAGTCACAGTTAGAACTGCTCTCTTGGTTGTAAGCATGCTGTTGATGTGTAGAAAGTATTTTTAAAATCAAGCAGTATGTCATTGAGTTAAGTAGCATTTATTTTCTTTTTAGCACTGGGGATTGAACCCACGGCCTTTACATTGAGCTAAACCCCAGCCCCTTTTTATTTCCTATCTTGAGACATTATTTTGCTAAGTTGCTCATGTTGGGTTTGAACTTGTGATTCCCTTGCCTCAGCCTCCCAGAGTGCTGCATCAGCATGCCCAGCAGCACTTGCAGTATTTTAATCACAGATCTTAAATGGAAGCAGTAATTAAAGCTGATTTCACAAATTTTAAATTTCAAAAACATTGTTAAACCCTAATCACTGCCTGGTGAGAAATCCCTGCACTGGCTGTCGTAGAGCAGTGGGCTTGGCTTCGCTTATGTACAAGGGCTGTGCCCTGCAGCCTGTCCAGGACGCGGGCTCCCAGGCTGAAGGAGTGTGGGGCCAGCCCTGAACCCTGTGCTGCCTGTTGGTTTCAGCAGGGAGGAGAGAGTGACGGCTTTTTCCACCTCGAGGGCCAGCCCCAGCGGCTTCCTCAGCCTCCAGAAGTGAGACAGCAGCCTGCCCGCAAGGTGACGCTGACCAAGGGGGTCCCTCAGCAGCCCCAGCACAGCCCTGTGGGGCCCCACGTGCACTCAGCTGTTCCTCCAGGGATCAAAAGCATCCAAGGCATTCACCAGGCCAAGAAGGTACTGCCTGCCCCCTGCTTGCCCAGACATGGGCAGCCTGCTTCACAGGAAGTGTCCCACTGGTTAAGCACAGTTTCTCTGATTTGTGCTTCCTGGCACTTGTTAGTACTTATATTGGCCAGTGAGCCATCTTTTCCTTAGTCTTGGCTTGGAAAAATACTGACATTTTCATCAAAGTTTTTTCCTTGCCTAGTACACTCCAGCCAGTTGCACACATCACAGAGCTGAGCTATTGCTGGTGCCTCTGAACAGCGAGCTGCACAGCATCTGAACCTTCCCTCTCTCCACTGATCTTCTGGGGATACCCACTACAGAGCCAGAGTTCTGTCTTCAGGTTTCCTGGTCACCACCCCAGTTCCATGAGGGGAAACTGAAGGCTGTGATGGTAGAGTAACCTGAGAAAGTGATAGAGCTGTAGTCCTGGCCCTGAAACTTCCCTTGGCCACTGGGTTGAAGGACATCTCCCCATCTAAGCTCAGTCTGGTGGCAGGAAGCCTGGTGTCTGCTGGAGCCTGTTCTGTGCAGGATGCCCATTTGGTCCCACTACATGTGCGGCAGTGCCAGGGTGCCCTCCTTTGGCTTCTAGGCAGAGGCAGCTTATAGTTCTTGAGGATGGGCAACAGCAAGGTCCCTCTTAGAGCAGCAGCCAGCATGACTGATCTGAGGGCAAGTGAGGCTGGACAGAGGGGCAGGGTGGCACCTGCCGTGACTGCTTCCTTAAGGCCTGTGGTTTGTAGGTACACCATATTGAGGTTCCTTTGTGTGTGCTACCTTGGACAGGCAGCAGTAAACCTCCAGTCACATTGTCCTGTCAGGCGCTATCCCTTGCTCCATGACCAAAAAGACCAGAAAAAATGCACAGTCTGTATGTGGTTTGCATAGATACAAAGCTCCTTTGTCCTCATAATGGAGGAGGATGATGTTTCTTACTTGAGCTCTCAGGAGGAGTTTATGTAGTGATCTGTATAGAGACCTGTCCTATAAATAAGCATACTTCAGTGTATTAATATAACTTTACATTATTGGATCAAAAGAACATTTACTACTGGTTTGCAGTCTTGTCACTTGGGGCTTGTGATGAGTGTCTCACTGTGGCCCTGGAATGTCCTGAGTGAGCACTCTGTAGGAGTAGACATCACCTTCTGCAGAGTGCCAAGGAACGTGACTTTTTCCTAGCTTCCTCTGCATCATGACCATTGCACCCTGGGGTAATTCTGTTCTCACTCTGGCTTGTTTTCTTCCTTTTCCTGTGAGGAGTGGGAGGCTGCTGTTTTTACTCCTGTCTGGTCATGCTCTGGGGCATCTGGGAATCCTAGTGCTGGTCATTTCCACTCGAAGTCGGTATAGTCTCTGTAATTTCCTAAGCAGGAGAGAATGCTGGAAAGACCTCTTCAAGACAGTCTGAGCAGTGCTTCTGAATCTCAGATGGCTTAGAAAAGAACGGGATGCTTTCTGGGCCCTGCCAGTGATTGGAGGGTCATGCTTGGGGTTGAGAATGGTACCTAGTTCTGGTTGGGTGTGTGTTTAAATCTCAGCAAATGATCATAATATAATATGTAGCTGGGCTGCAGCCCTGCTGCAGAACCTGCTTTTGAGTTTGGGAGACTTTTGAGTTTGGTATAGACTTTGTTCAGATGAATTGGGTCCCTGAAGCTGCACCTTCTTGGAACTGCCGGGTAGATTCAGCACTGCTTGGTTGGTCCCCACTGAAACAGTGGGAAAAGTGTGCACTCTGGGCAGTCAGGTTGGGGTCCACTGTCTTCCCCATTACTTGCTCCAAGTTTATGGCTCCCTACCCCAGGGTGCTTCATCATAAACAGTGGCAGCACACAGAGTGCACCGATTGCCTGTGTGGCCCCAGGAGACTCAGGTGTGTTGTCACTTCCCTCCTGGTCCTCGCCTAGTCTTGCTGGGCTTTCCTATCTCAGTGAGCAGTAACCATCCTTGGGCAGAGGCTAGACAACTACAGAGAATCTGTAGCTCACTGTGTCTTAACGGATGTTGAGTGATTTGCTCCTTTGATATCTTAGTAGCTAGGAGGTAGCCCACACTCGCACATGAGAATGCATTTCTTTTGTTGTTCCAGCCCATCATGCATGGACGAGGCCGAGGAGTGGCAGGTCCCATGGGCCGGGGGCGCCTAATGCCCAACAAGCAGAACCTACGTGTGGTGGAGTGCAAACCACAACCCTGCGTTGTGTCTGTGGAGGGGCTGTCCTCGTCCACCACTGACGTCCAACTGAAGAGCCTGCTGATGTCAGTGGGACCCATCCAGGTGGGTGGCCTGGCCGTAGCCTGGCATCTCTTCTCTTGGGTCCCATATGGAAGCCCTGTCTTGGTGCCCACAGTGTGGTTGGGTTGTTTTAAAGTTAACAGTTGAGAGATGTTATCTGCTGTGCACACTGATTCCTGAGCTTCTGCCTTACACCTGAAATGTTCAGGTTCTCAGTTAAAGTTTTAAGAAATAAGGATTCCAATAGAATAAATTATCCTTTGAAATCCTCAGATTATCCTATAGTTCACACATGCATTTTTTGTTCTATCAGATCAATTGTTTTTTAAAAATTTTAAGTATTTAACCTTGTCTTATATCTTGAAATAATTGCATAAATTATTACCTGTGGAACACTGTTTAGATTTTATAGATAATGACGGTAGCTTAGCCTGTTTGCATCTTTAAATTTTAAAATTGGCTAATTCTGATGTTTAGAAGTCTCTCCTGTGGTGGCTGCCAAGGAAATGAGTAAATATGAAATAAACAATACCACATTCTCTATTCACCAAGCTCTGCAGGTGCCCCTTGAAGTGAGTGCCTGGCCCCTGTCCTGTTTCTAGCCCTCCTGCACATAGGGCTGTTCACTGCCTTCATCACATATTGTCATCAAGCTAGAGCTATGTCTGAAGACAGAGCTCTTCAGAAACATACCTAGTAGAGGTATTAGATTTCTGAACAGCAGAAAATTTTTTTTAGCCTCTAATCTCTTGCTTTCTGAGTGAATCTAGGGGCATTCTCAGGCAGGGGCTGGTACAAGTAACTAATTTATAATCTGTTTCAGATCTCAGACTAAATGAGAGTCCTAAAAATGAGGATGAGATGAAGATGAAAGCTTTCAAATGTCTGTTACATAGGTATAAATTGTTGCCACCTTTGTTACGGATTTTACTTGTATTTAGCATTAAAAAGAACCAAAACCTCTTTCACTTTTAGGAGCAGTTCTCCTAGTTGTATCTTAGGAATACTTTGTTATTTGTCAGAACCATAAAGGCTGTGCTCACTAGGTGTTTCTAGGCAGCTGGTCATCATTCAGATTTATGTGCAGGAACAGAGTTGACGAGATTTTTAAGTGCCTTAAAATGTGGTTCATGTACTTGGAAACTCAAAGCAAGTACAGTTGACAGTTGTGCGTAGCATAATGGTTTACCTGAGTCCAGACCAGGGACACACCTTTTTGTGGGCCAGTGAGTGACAGACAGCACTGGTTGCATATGTGACCTGCCAATTTTACAGTGTGGCCTCCTCATAGCGGTCTTGGACATTTTCTTGAATATTCTGGAATCTGAACAGCAAGAACTATTTGCTTCTCATAGTGCTGAGTAAGGCTCACAGCCTGCATAGTGAAAATGACCTTGGAGCTGGGAAACCACCTAACCTTTTAAGTTGAATTTTGAAATTTTTTATGATCTCTTGGCTGGCTTTTGTTCTTCCATTTGTCTCTTTTTTTCCTATCTGGAAAGAATTAAAAATCATTGTATCACAAAGTTTGATTGGAGCCACTTAAAATCCCCGCAGAGGCAACATTGCAGTTGGCCATAGTGACTTGCTTAATTAGAGAGCATTTCCTGTGCCCCTCAGTCACTATGAATGCCAGAGGTGCAGGCCCCAGGATCAGTTCTGCACTCCAGAAGGCCATTCCTCCTGTCCTGCAGACAGGCTCCCACTAGCCTTAGGCCTGTGGGGTAGTCTTAAAGAAACTTTTAATAACTGTACTGTTATCCCTAAAATGTACCAATAAACTCAATTATAAGCTGAAAAAAAAAAAGAAACTTTTAAGCATGGCATTTTCAAAGTGCTACATTTCCTTATTTATTTAGGTACTGGGGATCGAACTTAGGACCTTGCACTTGCGAGGCAGGTGGCAGCACTCCTATAAAAAGAAAAAAACTGAGTTGGGAATTTAGCTCAGTGGTTCCACCTGCCTTGCAAGCGCAAGGTCCTGAGTTTGATCCCTGGTACCAAAAAGAAAAAAAAATTAATACAACAAGCTTTTTCCAGCACTTGATGGCTAAAGAAATAATTTAAAGAGTATGTCAGCAACTGAGTGGTTTAAATGCACGCTTTAGAAAGACAGTGCTGACTGACCAGGGTTTCAGCCTCTGCCTACCTGGTTCCAGGAAGAAAATGTCTGTGCTCTGGAGTATGGTGCCACCTAGTGTTCACTCGATGGCATGTAATATAGTTGACAGGGACCTCTGTGCTTTTGGCCTTTTCACCATTAGAAATTCCTGGTAACTTCATATTAACTATGCCCTGTAAACCTGTGGAATCTGAGATTTTCCTCAGTGTATCAGTGTTATGGCAGTCATTGCTGCTCTCAGATCAGTGTTTTACTTCCTTTCACTACTGTCAGAAGGTGCTTTAGAGTAAGAATGACAGGAGTGTGTAGAAATGGCATGAGCAGAAGATAGAAGCATCACAAATGTGCTCATGCATTCCAGAGTCAGCTGAGAGGTATTGCTGCACAGACACTGCAGAGTGCAGCTGGAAAGTGTAGTGAGAATGAGAGGCTTTGTCATGAGGCACGAGGCTGTGATCTAGATCCTGGCTTTGCAGTGTCTTGGCAGTGGAGCTTTTAGTCAGAGAACTTCACCTCTGTGAGCCAAGTATGCTCAGTCTATAACATTGAAGTAACTCACAGGTGCCCATTTGTAGGGTAAATGTGATGGGATGTGCATGAGACCCTCAGTTCACACAGTGGCAAACCAGGGAGTGACTGCTGCCTGTAGGCCAGGAGTCCTCTCACTTCTCAGATTTTCTCTGGTGTGGGAGTGCATTGTTGTCTTTGTGGTTGTGATGGTGTTGCATTACTAGGGTTTAAATCAACATAATTGGGCATCGATTGATTGATTCATTGATTGGCTGACAAAGTCTCAATTACCCAGGTGCATCTCAAACTTGCAGTCCTCCTGCCTCACCCTCCCAGAGTGCAGAATTACAGTCTTGTGTACTGTTCTTCAGGAAGGTTAGTGAGAGATCCTGTTAAAAATTAGTTTGAGAGCCGGGCGTGGTGGCGCATGCCTGTAATCCCAGCACTCAGGAGGCTGAGGCAGGAGGATCGCTGTGAGTTCGAGACCAGCCTGGGCTACATAGTGAGTTCCAGGTCAGTCTGAACTACATAGTGAGACCCTGTCTCAAAAGACAAAACAAAACCAAAAAGTTACCTCTAGGGAAGATGTGAGAAGAGGAGTCCTGTGCTGATCTCGGGGAAGGTCTGGGTGGTGAATATGGCCAGGGGATGGCAGGTCTAAATACAGGCTTGGAGGACAGAACTTCTGCTCATGGGACTGATGGGAAAAGCACTGTTTGGGAGTAGATTGTCTTGCTAGGTGAGCAAAATTGCCAAGTATATAGAAGGTGGAGGTCAGTTCTGTGCTCCACACGGCCTGGCCCTCAGTTCTGTGTTGTAGCTCAGAGTATATGAGCATTTACATTTTACATTACATAGTGGCAGGTGAACTGTTTCTGTTCTCTTCCTCCAGAGCCTGCAGATGCTTCCCCAGCAACGGAAAGCCATTGCGAAGTTCAAGGAACCAGCGCATGCACTAGCGTTTCAGCAGAAATTCCATAGGTAGCCCTCAGTCCTGAAAGTGTGGCTGGAAGGAGGAAGTCTCTATCCTGGGCTTGAGCGGGGGGTTCCACCTACTGCGGGCTGCACCAGTGACACAGCAGAGCACCAGCAGTCCTCTTGTTGCATGAGGAGTGCTCTCTTGTGTTTGTATGTCGATCTTAGGTATAAATCTGCACTTCTTGTTTTCTTATTTTTCTCTTTTTGTGGTGCTAGAGATTGCACACAGGATGCAAATGCTCCACCACTGAGCCTCACCCCTACCCCAACTTCTATTTTTTGTAGAAGAGATGTTATTTCTGACCTACTGTTCTACTTCACTTTCTTGCGTTGGTAAATTAATTATCGCTGTCCAGAGTTGGTTTTGATTGTCTCTTTAACTTTCCACAGGCACATGATAGATTTGTCCCACATAAATGTGGCCCTGATTGTGGAGTGAGGTCTAACGGGAGAGTCTCGCTTCATCTGCACACATGAATTTCAAGGAAGCTGCCGCTGGCAAGGACCCCAGGAGCACAGCCTCTCCGGTCCACAGCCTGTAACTCTTATTCAGGCGCCAGCCAGCGCCTGGACTGCGTAGAGCTGGGTGACGGGACATGGCGAGCAAGATGGGTGTTGGGTTGCTTTGCATTCCATTGCCCATAAGAACTCCGTTCTCATTTCCCTTTGTTTCCAAGTGCTCACGATGCATGTAGACCCTGTTCTCTATGATCCTACTGTTTGATTGATCAGTGATTCAGTCAGGAGGAAACATTATGCTGCAGGTTCTGAATATTTTTCACAGCAAAGAATATTTGATAATGGTTGCACTTATCTTCAGTGCAGGCTAGAAAGGAGTGTCTCCACTGAGCTTCACCAGAATTATCTTGTCAGCCCTCAAAGGCTCTGGTGAAAATATAGTTAAAATTTGGGTGATTATCGATTGACAGTGCATAGCCTGGAAAGCCAGGTGTAAGTGGGGGTTGGGATGGTGCCGTTGGAAGTGGCCATTCTGCTTCTTGTAGATATCTCCAAAGTGCTCACCACGTGTTCCTGATTCCCTGGAGAACTCTCACTTGTCTGTGCTCTCCCAGGCAGGCACAGCCCCTGGGGGGTCTTGTGTCCTGCCCTGTGAAGTGAGGCACTGGTGAGGGGTAGTTAGACCGGCTTCGGTTTTCTTCTTTTTAAACGCAGCCCCAGGTGATGTTTGTATCACTGGCTTAGTGACATGAACTATCATTGATTTGATTACCTTTTGCTTTGAAGGCCTTTTTATAGGGACCTCACCATCCTTTAGGGACCCGAGAGCTTTCTTGTGGCTCACTGTTCTCCACACCTATGTTGAGGATGACTGTCTCACAGACACGTAGCTTTGGTAGGTTCTGAGGGGAGACTCGCTCTGTGGAAATCCCTACTGGGCACACACTGGAAAGTGCCTTACTTTGTTTCCACCTGGGTGTTTCACTAATACAGTGAGTCCAGAGTGGGCCTGAGCTGTATGACCAGGCATGCCAGGGCACACTCAGACTTTTTAGCTATATGTTTTACCTGTGATTTCATGTCACATTATTAGTAGAATTGATGGGGCATAGAAGCTAGTTGTCACCACCTCTGGTTAAGCCATCTTGAGCCTCTGCTCTCCAGAGTGCCCCACAGTAGCTAAGGAGCAGGAGGGTACTGGTAGCCTCTGGTTTTAACGGGTGCAGTTTTATATTATGCTTGCAAATTAAGTTACCAATATTAAGAACTGGAAAGTAATATTCAGGCCCTGTAAGTATTTGTGTAGCCCTGATTCTGAGTTGACATCATAGGCCTAGGTGGGACACTGGGAAGTGCAGGTGCTTGTGTGGATTCTGGGAAACTGTGGCCCTCAGAGGATGTCCTAGCAGACCCTGCCCTGCGGTCTTGCCTCTGTTCCAGAAGCCACTGCCCAGCCTAGGCAAAGCTGTCATTGCCCACTCTTGTCTAGTTAGGTACAGGTTTGTGCATACAGGTGAAAGTGCAGTCTGCATGGCCTAGTCCTCAGAGTTGCATTGAACCAGTGAGTTTGGTAGCCTGTAAGCTCTAGTTCAGAGGGATCCCAACCACTTAGGATCTTGTGGGTCATAGGAAGCTTCATTTTATCGGCCAGGACTTAGTATAAAATAAAATGAGTTTAACAGTTTTTTTTTTTAAACCACTTTCACAAATAGTCTTGAGTGCTGTGCTTTTGAAATGCAGATCTGCACCTCATTTCTGGAAATCAGCAGGCGCTGAAGCATGGAAGTTAGTGTTGAGAGAATAAGTCCTTCTGGGTAACATTGTTCAAGCGAGGCTTCAGGGCCCCTCCAAGGTCTGACTTTGGCTTTGGCTGAGGGTGGTGTGAGTTCCAGGAGCATGTGTGTGTGTCCGCATCCATAGCCATCTGCATATGCGGGCAAGTGTTCTCTTCCTTCATTAGTGGAGGCGGAGGTGGCAGGGCTGTACACAGGGCCGGGTAGGGCACTTGAGCGCAGGTGCAGTCCAGCTTCTCAGTGTTCATGCCCTGGAGCAGCTCAGCACTGGGCAGGCCAATGCTGCAGGCTTAGTATCCATGGAGGAAACGCAGAAAAGGAAAGAAGCAGAATTAGAGAGAAATGTTACTTCATTCTCAGGTGCACTTCTGGTGGGGAAGTCAGACCCCACATGCACCTGAGCCCTGGGGAAGATCTGCTGCAACCATTATCTTTGTTCTTTATCATGCATTTAAGGTGAGGGGCAGGGCGTTAGCACTCTGTGTACATATGGACCTTTTAAAATGAATCTTTTAAAATGACATGTTATTGGAAATGCCATCTACGTGACAACTTAGCTATTTGTTAGTTCTTTTGTGCTGTCTTACCAGTTTGATGGAGACACTTCCATAATTGTTTATGTGTTTGTGTGTATATTCGATTTTTATAAAGATGGTAGTAAGTCATTTTATCCTCATCTGTGTATTATTTGTTCACAAATTCAAGAAGCATTAAGGCAGTAAATGTGAGTAGATCTCAGGAGGTGAATCGGCAGGTGATTATGTGTAGTCAAGTAACCTCTCCTCTTTTTGCATTGTTTACTTTGTCTGTAATGTAAGTTCTCTCAGCTGCTGACCTGAACATAGCTTTGCATTACCCTTGGCCTGGCCACATTTGTTAAATTTTATACTGATACTCTTCTCTAGGGTAAATCTCAACTCTTCTTTCCAAAAGAAATGTGGCAGTAGCCTGGTGTCCTGGACAGGCAGCTTCCTGTATAGGCCCTGCAACCACACCTCAGCCTTGCTGGGAGGAGAGGGGATGGGGTGGGAGAGGGTGGTGCTTTAGCCATCAGCATCTTACATCCCTAACATGCTGTGTAACGGTCCTCCATGAATGGCTGCCTAAGTTCCCTTCAGGAGCTTTGCTGAGTTGTGACAGCGTAGATCCTGTGCCCAGCCTACTGCCTGGTGCTGCAGACAGAGGCTCTGCTGCTCAGGGAAGCTGGTGAGGAGCTAGAGGGGAGGGTGGGAGGAGAGTGAGGGACAATGGCCAGGAGAGGGGCTCCCTCCACTGGGACAGGGGACACAGGTTAGGTGAAGGGGCCTTTCTCCAAGGACTGGGGTTAAGTCTTTCCCTTTTTTCTTTTGGCTTTGGTTTTTTTCTGTTTGTTTTTACCTGTTACTTCTCTTTGGTTTTATCGGGAAGGTAAACTCACCTCATAGACATTGGACAGACGCTAGTTATACAAGTCCCAGTGACTTGATTACACGAGCCCATGGAGGTCTGTGTAGCGGCTGGGGTATTGCTCTTGGTCATCCTCGATCTCTCTGTGGTGGCTTTCCCTGTCCTCTTGCTGGAGACAAAATGCCCAGGTATCAAGAAGCACAAATGTGAGGCCCATCCTGGTTGGCTCTGGGCTTCACTGCATTGCTACTGCCCTTCATAGGAATCCCTGTTTATTTTCTTCCCTTCCTACCTGTAGGGCTCCGTCCTTCACACAGCCGCTGTTAGATGCATCAGTCCAAATCCCCTTCAGGAGCTTGCAGCCACTCTCTGCCTTGTCTACGTAGAATGGGAGGCAGAACATGGGGATATCTTTTGAGACTATGCAGGAGTTGTTCTAAAAGGGAAGGGCCCAAGAGAGGAGTCGGGCTCCCTCCCACAAAGGTAGCTGTCAGAGTTTAGGTCAGCTACAGGAAACTTTCCATACTCTGTGTTTAGTGAGCATCTCAGGTGGTGTTTTCAGCTGTAAATTCTGTAAATAAAGTATTACTTTGATATTTTTAACTATGAATGCTACAAAGGCATTTAGCCTTGATATAATATTAAATCCCAAGGATTTTGTGTAAGGTTTTTTTGCAACCTGTTTAGTTCTTGTCATTGAAAATGCATAACTTCTTAGGTACATGAGCCCTTGGTTTTGTGTACCAGAGTGAAAGCTGATTCATATTGGATCCCCAGGTATGCCTCCTCGTGGCACCCAGGTTACATACTCATTGTGACCTGCCTTTTCTAGAGACTGTCGTACATACCTTAATTCTCCCTATAGTGTTTTGTAGGAAATTTTTTAAGCAAGATGGGCAGATGGAATAGGTGCTTGTAGTGAGAAGTTTCTAAACTACTTATTTTTTCCTTTTTCTTCTTACAATCTAAAACATAGAGATCTTTGTGTTCTCCTTGGTTTCATTTTACTAATTTTAAAAAGGTTTGAGAAAATGCAGGTCCTTTAGAAAGAAGCATCCTATAGTTTTTTATTTGCCATTTCCCACATATTGGACAAGCAGACAGGTACTGGGTTAATCTGTACCTTGAAAGATTAGTATGCTCCATAAAAGTGTCCTCTTGACTTTCTACATGCTTTTCTCCTAAACTAATTTTTATTTTAAGGGAAGAAATAGTGGGAGCTGATTTTAAAGGACTACTTGAAACTTTTTCATTCTGTGCTATTTGGTTAGCATATAAAATATTTTTAAATAACATTTACACACACACACAGTAACGCTGTCAGCTGAGGAACAAAATAACCACCTATTTTTATAACTCTGCTTTGCTTTTCACAGGCGTGGGATCCAGAATGCTTTTCCTCTGTGAGGATTTTAACTCCTAGGCTTTAATCCCACCGTTTAATTTGCAGGTGCAGCAGTGACAAAGTGCAAAGTCTGACCTCTTTCCTTTTTGAGCTGGTTCTCAGCTTGTTGGCTGTCTGTTTTCTTTTGGCTGCTGTTGTTGTCTTGGATTGCACCTTCTTGGGGAGTGGGTGCCTCCTTTGCCTTCTATTCCTCTTTCCTGGTGGACCCATCCCCTTCTTTACACTGGACGCTCCTTTCCCACCCAAGGTGCTGCCACTCCCTGCTTTCCCTGCCTCTTCCTCACCCCTGTCCTGTCTTCAGTCCAACATTCAGGACTCCACTCTGGCTGAGCGGAATGTTTTGAATGTCTCTGCACAGTGTCCACAACTTGCTTTCTCTAACCCTTTGCTTTGACAGGTCTCCATTCATGATTTATTCCTCCAGGTCTTTGATTGGAGAGAATAACATTTTGATTCTGTTATTTTGCAGTTTGGCTCTCTTGTAGGAGTGTGGGGCGACCCAAAGATGCCAGCATCCTGCAGCTGTGGTTGGCCGTGCATTAATCACCCCTTCTCTGTTTTTGTCCCTCTGCCTTCGCAGGGCCTGGGGCGTGGGTCAGTGTAGTGGTAGTGCGCCTCTGGTTCTGCTTGGAAGCAGTGGCCATGTGGCCATGTCACTGCCCTTGCTGACTGGCCCTTCTAATGCAGTGTGCACCTTGTGGCTGCACCTGATGCAGCTCGGAGGTGCGGCGTGGAGCTCTGTTTGTTGGGAGTGCACTGACTGGAAACCAAGGGATGGCTGACTTGCTCTCTTCTGGGTTTGATTGGCTTCCTGTTTTCTGCCACTTACACTCTTCTGCCTCTGTGGGAATGATGTTGCTATGTTTTACCCCACTTCCCCTTTGCATAAACCCCTGTGGGAACTTTCCAAGGACTATATGTGAAGAATAGTAGTGGCATAGGTGAAAAGACAATGTATTGTGTGTATCATTTGTGTTTTGATTTCATCCTGAAAGATGTTGTTTGCACTGTATTGTATCTTGCAAGGTATGTCAATAAAGTCTCAGTGTCCCCTCTGACTCTGTGACTCTCATTTTATCTCAGGTCCATCCATACCACAGGGCCCCTTCATGCACTGCTGCCCCCATCTGCCCTTGAGGTGCAGCCCAAGGCTTTGGCCCAGATATCTGATGAGTGGACCCACACAAGATCCAGGGAACAGTTTATCCAGTCCACGCACCACGTGACTGGGAACTGACCACACAAGGCTAAAGTATGTTCTGTTTTGTTGGGGACAGTGGAGCTAGAGTCTCTTAAGTTTTTTAAAGCATTTACAAATATCTGTTACTATTTCAACACTAGTAAAAAAGACTGATAATGGAGAAAATCAGTCGTGCGTACTACACCCTGCTGCCTGCCGCACTTGATTTCTGTTCTGTGCAAGTCTTATTTAAGAAGCTGTAGCCACAGTGTCCATGTTCTGTTGAATACCTCATAAGCCTTTTTCATGTTGCTCTACCTTGCTCATAGTTTATGGCTTAATTTGAAAATAATTGAAAGGTACACCAGCTCTGCGTCCACAAAACTTTAAGGAAGCATCCAAGGAATAAACCCTGATGTGCGAGCTCTGTGCCAGAGCTGGGACTCTACCACATAGTGTTGCTTGTGCTTAGTGGCGTTCTTCCCTCTGTCCCTGGACTTCTGTGAGAGATGTTCAGCTTACATGACCCAAGCCCTCCATTGCCCTTTTGTGACAGTGCCTAGGCCAGGGGCAGTGGGCAGGACACGACAACTCTTTTGCTGACCCAGCCCATGTTGAGCATCTGCAGAGCCAAAGAGAATGATGGGTAAGTGCCCACCTTGTGCATCTCACAGGGTTGGCTCTGCAAGTGGTACCTGTGTCATGGCTGGGACCCAGTGCACCCTTAAAGGCAGGAGGGCGAGGCACAGCTCCCCTCAGTGCAGTAGCATTTCCATTCCAGTGATGTAACAAAGGTGCAAGGATGAGCAATGTGCCATCTTCCATCAAGGAGCCCCATGGCACAAGACACTGGGGGTCCAGAGGAAGACAGTGCATCAGGGTCTGCCATGCTCACAAGATACCTGACTATTTCCACCTTATCTTCCAGTCGGGGGATAGCAACTTCACTGTCTGAAGAATTTTACATTATTTTATTCTAGTAAAGAGCAGACACTTTAGATTCTTAAGTAAAAATACTTAATAAAATAATTATGATTTTTAGAGAAAAATTAGTAAAATAGACCAACCACTAGTTAAGAAAAAGCACAAAACACACCAAGGGGAAATTACCATTAAGAAAAAGGCGGTTTGATACTGTAGTAAAATGTAACACCTCATTTGCAGCTCTGGTCACATTGTGTATACAGTGCTCTGTGGTGGTGGTAAGCATATTCACACTGCCCCGCAGCTGTCACCACTGTCCATCCACAAGCCTTCCCTCTTGTGATCCTGGAGCTCTGTCCCCATTCACAGTAGCTCCCATTCTCCTGGAAGCCACCATTCTGTCTTCTGTCTCTGTGGGTTTCATGGTTCTAGGGACTGCTTGCAAGTGGGTGCATACAGGACTTATCCTTTTGTGACTGTCATCTTTCACTTAGCATAATGCCTCAAAGTCCATGCGTGCTGTGGCATGTGTCAGGGTTTTCTTTCCTTGAAGGCTGAATAATACTCTGCTGTGGGGATGGGTTAGATTTTGCATATCCATTCATCTGTTGATGGACATGTGGGTTGTCTGTACCTTTTGACTGTTGTAAGTAAAGCTGCTGTGAGTGTGAATGTATAGGTATCTTCAGAATCCTGCTGCAGTTCTTTTTGGTTATATAAGCAGAAGTGGAAATGTTGGGTCATAATGGTATTTTTGAGGAACCTATTATCCTGTGTCCCACAGCAGCTGAACCACTTCACATTCCCATCAGCAGAGATCAGGGGTTCTAGTTGCTCCCTTCCTTGCAAACATTGTTATTTTCTCTCTATTTCTATAACAGCCAAATAGCTATCCTAATGGGTATAAAGCACTGTTGCATAGTGGTATTGGTTTGTATCCCCCCTAATAGTGATGTTGAATATCTTTGCACATGCTCTTTGACCATTTGTATATCTCCTTTGGAGGAAAGTCTGTTCAAGTTCTTTGTTCATAAAAAGGCTTTTTAAAACGTTATGAAAGACTTTGCAGATCTCCATATAAATAAGTTTAAAAACCTAGATGATATGGATAATTTCTTCTGAAAATGGTTTACTAAAACAGGCTGTGGAGGAGATCTAAAGCTTAAACCAATCCCTCCAGAAGACAGAATTGTGGACGACCACACAAAAAAGCACCAGACCCATGTGTCACAATTTTACCAGAGAGTAGAACCAGTGCTACCTCCAATGTTTCAAAGCACTTGCAGTGAAAGTTGTTTTACATCTTTTTTTATGAAGTAAGTTTATAATTGATAACTAAGATAAAAAGTTACAGACAATATGAATGTCACTGCAAACATCCTTAATAAAGTACTTGTCAACCAGACACCGTGAAGTATGGCACTTAGAAAATAATACCATGGCCAGTGAGGCTGCTACAAAATGCCAGGATGGCTCAGGTCTGGAGTCAGTTAATACAAGATGTCATGAGAATGAGAAGGAAAATTTGTATTCTGCCTAAGAGAATCCTTGGCCAGCATTTAACAACCATTCTTAATAACTCAGGGAGACAAGAAAGGATCACTTCCAGGGAGCACTGGGCCACATCCCCAGCCCTACCCATTTTTTAGTGTCAAGAAACAGTCTTGCAAAGTTCAAACTGGTCTCCAATGCCTCAGCCTTTTAGGCAGTGCCACAAAACTCAGCCAGGGTTTTTTGTTGTTTTTTGTTTTTGAGTTTGAGACAAGGTCTCACTATGTAGTTCAAGCTGGCCTTGACCTCACTATGTAACCTAGGCTAGCCTTGAACTTGCAGCAATTCTTCTGTCTCTGCCTCCCAAATGCAGAGATTATAGATGTGCACAACCAGGCCTGGCCTTCAGCCAGGTAGTTTGAGCTGTATTTGAATCCAGAGACAGAATCTGAAGATGCCAAGGGCTAACTGCCCTGAACTGTGGTGGAGTAAAAGGATCCTCTTAGGACAATAAAGGGGCACACTGTGTTCAACAGTCTCAGATTGTTCAGAAAGAATTACAGACCTTTGAGTAAGAGAGGAACCACATTTTTAAAAACACTTTAAGGATGTACAGGACCTGTTGAAAGGCATTTTGTTTGAGAAGTCTGACTGTTTCATCATCCCAGGCTTCACCTATAGCCCAGAGAGGAGTTTAGGAGTTCCACAGTGAACAGCACCCCCGGTGCTGTGTTTAAGCTGGGGAACCTCCCACCCCATCTTGGTACTGGGGATTGAACTGGGAGTCTTCCTGCTGAGTTACAGCCTCAGCTGACACTGAACTGACCAGGGCCTCATGGCTCAGCCTCCCAGAGTGCTGGGTTTATAGGTATGCGCCACCACTCATGACTGCTACAGTTGCTTCTGAGAGTGAAATGCAGGCTGTTGACAGCTGTATTGGCCCCACAGGTGTAGAAGGAGGGAGTGACACCAACGCTGACTAGCCATTGGGTCTAGGAGAAGGTCGGGTGGTTCCAAGAATAGCTGGCTGTTGTGCTCCTCCCCTTGGATACCAGAACAGGGTAAGACACCCGCCCCCACTATACACACACAAACAAACACACACACACACAAGGTCTAAAGTCAACTCATGGCTCCCAGCCTACTGTGGTGGTTGTGAGTCAACTAGGGGGATATGGGGATGGCCACACAGCACAGCTCATGTGGGATGCCCTAGCTAAGCCCAAGGGAGGACTGCACTATGCAGAGCGACGCGAGGCTGTGCTGGGAAGAGGGGACCATGGGAGGGGGTTCTAGCAT